CTATAATCTACGAAAAATATCAGAGTACACAAGTAGGATGTGACATCTTTCAACAACTCATAAAGTTTCAAGTAACTTTAATACTTCATTTTTCATAAAAATCAACTTAATAATGAAACTATTAAATTAATTCATTTTTATAACACTACAACTTTAATAACAACATTCTCCACAAAAGTCATGGTTCAACATAGTTTTGATATTAAGATACGTAACAGAAAAGACAAATACAAAACATAACAAATCCCCATAATATCCCGTGTTACGTATCAGAGAAACTCCTAATACTCGACCAAGTAACTCATACTCCAAGCACTACTCAGGTACCTGATTAACTGTACCCTCAGAGGAGCACATACACAATAGCATAAAAGGGGTGAGAATTATATTCAATAAATATACAGTGAATACCACATGGTAAGGAGTAGTAATTCACACCATTCACACAATTCACATATCATTCACTACTTCATATCACATACATCATCTACATAACACGACAATAAATCAACAGAAATGCAATGTAATGAAACCAACACTGACTCAATGCATGTGGTACCAACAGGGCATAAGCCCTCCACGTAATGCCAAATAGGGCAACAACAGGGCATAAGCCCTCAACATAACGCCATTACAGGCCAACAACAGGGAATAATCCCTCACTAATGCATACACACAACTTCAAAATGCAACAATATAATTATGCAACCACATGGCAATGAGCCCACAACATTACACCGATACAAGCCAACGGCATCACCATCATCATGCAATACATTATGCAATTCATCCACACACCTTCACACAACATATAAAACTCACACAATGTTCCACATTTTAACCCAATTCCCATTATTACTAGTCTCCTTATATCTTCCTAAGTCATACTAGTCATTATGAACCAAAAGAAACTACACTGCACGCGAAAACGAGAAAGAAATTACGAAAACGAGAAATCTGCACCTTAGCCTGTTCATACACATATGGCCCTACCCCATACGCATGCGACTCGCTTCCTCGTCCCACTCTTGCGTATCATACGCATAGGGCCCCATAGCCCAAGCCTCATACGTGTATCGTACGCGTACGACCAGAGGAATTTTTCTACCAAAAACCTTTCTAAAACCTCTCATACGGGTAATGGCTAGCCCATACTTGTTTGGCCTTCCTCTCATACGCATATCATAGGCACTCCGACAGAATGGTCGTGCTGGCTTGGGGAAATTGCGCATACCATATGCGTACAACCCTTGGGAGTGTCCCCCATACGCGTATAGCCTTCCTCATATGCATATGGCTAGTTTATTACTCTAAAAATCCTGATTCCGTATCAATACGACTTTCACCTATTTAGAGCACTTCCATGCTCCTAATTTTAACCAAAAACAATGTTTTTACACCTAATAACCTATAAAATTGAATCAATTTCATTAATCTATCATCATATAACAGTTCCCTACCTCAAAATTCTCACTTTTCATCATCTTCCCAAACCTATATTTTCTAGATCTGGGATTTAATGGGACAACATGATGCATGATTTTCGCAAGTATATGAATCACATCAGAGTAATATAAAAGATTATCGATCCCACATAGACAAAAACGTCAATCTATCAAATTCTATTGTCACTATGTTTATTTAAGGCAAATCAAATCAGGGTCTTATAGCAGGAAGAGTAAATAAAGTAAAAGATGTCAATTCAGATAAAAGCAATGAGTTCGAATACAAATCACAATAGTCAGATAATACTCTAAAATGCTTCTAATAGAACTACTTATGGGGAAATATTTCCTACTTTGAAAAGAACTAATTTAACAGGAACTGTCGCTTTCGCGTATTCATAACCGAGTTTATTCTTTAAATAATGTCTTTTTATTGTCACGGATAAAAGGTGTGTACTGCGTTAAAGTAATAAACCTATTTTTAAGGAATATAGTTACTTGACTAAGTTGAAAAGTGATTTTGACTAAGAACTTCTAACCAAGAGATGATTAGACTTTTAAACCTATAAACGCGTCCAAAAAAGGTTTTGAAATCATTTCTTCTAAAAAGTTAAAGGTTTTTACTTAATTGAACAAAACGCTTTCGCTCTGTTTGAGCAATTAAGACTAACCAAGTTTATCAATGGTTGGATGGCTTTCGATCTTACCCAACAGAAAATAAAATGTAGAAAACTTGTGTTAAAAACCAAAACAGCCCCTAAAGTATCCCTACAGATGCAATGTTTAGACAATTACCTTAGCCATGATCATTACATTCTAACCCTAAAGGAAATTAGTCAGACGTGGAAATAAACTTATTAAAGCAAATCATGTTTAAGAAGAAAGTAAAAAGGTTAAAAGATAAGTAAATGCGATGCGAGAAAATAAACAAAGTATCGCAAGTGAGATGCGAGAAAATAAACAAAGTAAAGCAAGTGCGAGGAAATAAGTGTGATAAATGCAAAAACTTAAATAGAAACCTGCTCCAAACGGAGGGCTTCAAAACAACTTAATTGGAAGGTAAATTTGACTGAAATAAAGGAAACTTGAATTAAAATGGCGGCAAGATTGTAAAGTGCTCCAAACTTGATTACAAACTCAATAACTCGTGCGATAACTCTTCGATGTGAAGAGATTACCGCTTACAATTGGATAATATATGGCTTAAGTCAGTGAAACTAAGCTTGAATGAAGAAGAAGAACTGAAATCACTTCTATTTATAGGCTTAGGAGGATTTTGGAAATCACAAGAATGTCCTCCAACTTCTTTTGAGCAGGAATCGAATTTGCAAAGGTGGCGCCCGCCATGGGGGTGTGGCGGCCGCCATGCTCCAAAAATGAAGAAGTAGTGGAGAACGTGGCAGTTGGTAGTTGGCTGAAGTTGGCCACCTCATGGTTGACCCTATGGCGGGCGCCATGGTGGAAGCCGCAAGTGCAAAAACTCCAAAATCTTGATTTTTAGCTCATTTTTCTTCATTTCTTCAAGCAAGGCTTAGGAAAGACAAAAAAAAATGAAAACAAAACAAAATGCAAACATAACACAAGAAAATAACAATAAAAACCTAATAAACATGTGCAAATCGAGTCAAATATGCAGTGCGATTCAATGTTATCAAATTCTCCCACACTTAGACCTTTGCTTGTCCTCAAGCAAAAACTCTGTATAGCTCAGCAAAGAGAAACAATATTATCAAACAATTTGGGCAAAAAGAGCTTCTAAGTTTAAAGCAGAATGTAATGATAGGTACTAGCCAGGTGAACCAAGGGTATCGTGACAACACATTATGCAAGAATACAAACACAAACATTGATCCTATACAAACTGATCCATTCAAAACCATCACACTTAGGCCTAATTTTCAAATCTTTTTCATTCAGGCGCAATCACATTAAGCCCGTTATCTCGCACATACTCATAGAAGAATGGCCAGTTAGTGACTCTGATCTCAAGCACGAGGTTCTGGTACATAAGTTAGTAACCCCTCAAATGACCCAATTGTGGTTGTGGGGGATCGAGTCGTAATCCGCCCTACCAAGTCCAGTACCAGAAACCTCTGAACCAACCAACAATGAGCAAAATTTATTTTCTTTTATTCTTTTTGCAATTTCTCACAACCCCTTTTTAGGTTAAGTGATTTTGTGAGGGTCACCTATCCCGGAGTTGTAGCATATGAATTATGAAAGCACAACAAAAATAATTTGGATCACTCACTTATATTCATCGGTCTCCTACGTAGAGCATGCTTAAGTCGAAGCTGACTGCTAGAATAAACTACTAAAGATGAAGGTTAAGGCCATAACATAAGGTTTTCAGGATCGGTTCCTATAATTACGAAGCTTATGGTGTTGAAACGATACCGATTTTTCAAAAATACTTCCCAAGTCATCTACATCCTATCTTAAACCTGTCTTAAAGCCCAAATTTTTTCAAAGGATACTGTTTTCTTTTGTCAAGAATTTTTGGTAGGGCTAAGAAATGGGAAAAAATAGAAATACACCACACAAATGACTCGACAAGCACATGAATTTTATTGAAAACAAACAAAGCAAGGTAAATAAACTGAAAAAGAAATAAAGACTTAAAATTAAAGAAAACGAAACACAATAAAATCTCCTCCCACACAAATCGAACATTGTCTCAAATCTTTCGAAATAAAAAATGGAAAGAGTAACCTGGATGTATCTAGGGACGGCCATTGGTGCCCTCACCATCCTGCTGATACCTAGGGTGACAAGACCTGCTGCGACGACAATCGCTCTGGAAAGAGGTTAGCTGCTCCACTCTAGCTGATAGAGCGGCCTGAGAACTCCGAACCTGTTGAAGGCTCCCTAATAGGGAACCCTGAGTGGTCTCCATGAGTGTAAAGTGCCTCTCAAAAAAGCCATGTTGACGCTGCTGCTCAGTACTGATCGCAAGCTGAGATTGCATGATATTCTAAAGACACTGATCAATATGTTGCTGAGAAGTTTGCATGAAGCTCATGTTGTCAGTCAGTTGTTGTTGCAATGTGGTGAGCATGCCATCTCACCTCTCCTCTTGAGCAAGATGCTCTCGCCACATCTCCTCAGTGATGTAAAATCCAAGGGCAGCACCTGCAGAATGATGTGAAGAAGATGGTGCAGTGTGTGTTGGTGAATCATGGTGGGGGACATATGTGGTACGGGAGACTGGTCTATCCGTTCATACTCCTCACCAGTCTCATGTCCGTCCCCAAGAGGAACATTAGGGAGCAATGGTCCCATAATAGGTGGAACGGACAAATCATAAGTCCAATTTCTCTCAAGCAGCACACCAGTCCTCCGGGAGCAAGATAAAGCAACACTGGGAATAGCCACACCATGGATCATGAGGTTAAAACCTCCCTTTTTCCTAACCTTGCATAATTTCATATCTTTCAAAAATTTAAATTAATTGTGCGATTAGGTAAAGGTACCAAAGTGCCTAACTCAGTGTCCAAGTTGAAAGCCCGAGCAATGGAGGTAATCAATCCTCCAAAAGAAACAACGCCCCCTTTCTCAAAGCGGAAGACATGTGTGCATCATAAATGGGACAACATTAATTTTTAAACCAGTGAGGCTTCCTTGCAAAAACAAAAGTTCTTTTGCATCGACCTTGTTTGGGTTCTCCCAGACAAAAATAGTATAAGCCAATAAATAACGGAAAACACGAATGACCAGGTTATGGATCATTGAGGCAAGAATATCCTCAAAAGAGGAAATGGTGGAACTAGACAATCTAGTCCAAAAAGCAAATGCCTCAATCGACCAATCAGAATCCAAAGGGGTCTCACAGATAAAACCTTTCCCATGAGGCATGTCCAACAACTCTGCTAAAACATCGGTAGTGTACTCATCTTCAACATTAAATATTCTAAATTTTACCATAGCGATCGTGCTAGCAGTGTTGGGACTAACAGTATAAATCAATATACATAAAAATTCTTTGGTCAGCCTCTCATAGGTAGGTTCTCTCCTAGCAAAAATATCGTGTAATCCTAAAGTGTCTAACATGTGAAAAACACTGTGATAAATTCCTAAAGTGTACAGACAGTAAGTATCGATATACCTTATTGAAGCAATTTCTTGCGTCTGCAACTTCTCGAGAATTTTTCTCTGTCCCGATCCAGATTTTCCATCATGATCAATGATTCGCCTTAGACATTGTGTGAACATGATCAACGATTTATGAGATGGGTGTGCCATAAGGATGTGAAGACGAGGAGCATTGAAACAAACAGGGTGTCACCGTCCCGCTTTTGACACCTGTCGCCTGAAAATGAAATAAAAAAACAAAGAAAAAGCAAAATGCCCTTTCTTACATATCATTTCTTTTTTTCTCCCACAAATAACGTTCTCTCCCTCAGATGTTCGCGGGCACCCAGAATCCGGTGGGCTCACGACGGCCGGCGTGGCGGAGCTCCACTGGAACTCACAAAGGCGCACCACCAAACGCGTCATACCACCCTCAACTCGAATTTGGTCATAATTCTCACAAAAAATACGCCTACAAAGCAAGATCTAAAGAGGAGAAATCTAACCCTAACTTCTTTAAATCAACTTACAACTTCAGAACAACAGCAGATCAACAAATCAAAAGCAAAAACATAATCAGGGGAAGAAGCTCTACACGACAGTAATGAGAGAGAAGGCCTGAGCGGCATCGACGGAGAAGTTCGCGACGACGGCGAGGTTCACGGCTGCGACGAGGTCAAAAGGTATATTCTCATCCCTATTTCCTTCTGATTTCTTCTTCTGCTATAGTCTGGATTTGAAAAAATGATGCACTCTGTGTTGTTGTTGTTGTTGTTGAACCACGTGAGAATGAGGTATTCTTGCCGAGTTTTTGAGCGCCTGTGCGAACAAAGTCGTTGGAGGTTGATTATTGTGGTATGTTGGTGATGCGGTTTGAGAAGATTGAAAGGAATATAGTTGTGATTTTGTTGAGCAAGGTTGACGGGTTAGGTTGTGAGGGTGATCAAGGGTTCAAGAGGTAAGGGAAGAGTGTTCAGAGGGAATTATGAGTGTTTGTTTTGATGGAGTGAAACATTTATGGTTGAAGGCGATCGATGGAGTTTTCTGAAGATTCAGTATGAATGTTGAACAAGGTTTTAAGGGTGTTTTTGGAGGTGAATTTGTATGTGGATTCAGAATCCATTTTAGGAGGAATTTTGTGTCCTTATTAATGAAATATGGGGTTGTTTATATAGGACAGTTAGAGGGTGAGGTGAAATCAGGGGCACCAAAGTGAGTGAAAACCTGAGGGTATCTGTGCGATTTCTTGTGGGAATGAGTGAGCTGTAAAATGAGAGGAATTGCCCAAGTTTGTTACTGATTTTGTGGGATCATGAGAGTGGAATCGGGTACACCTCCTGGGACCACATGAAGTTTGCCTTTTTGTCATTTATGTAAACTATTCTTTTTTATGACAGTTGAGGGTATTAGAGTGAGGGTAATTTGGGAAGTTGTGGATTGTTGGTTTTGTTTGTAATGCAAAAGGAAAAGCTTTCTATAAGTTTTAAGTGGTTCCAAAATTTGAATGACATCACCTTATTAGTACCTCCCGAATCCTTTCTTTCAATTTTTGTACTGCTGACTTGAAAAGGTTGGATTTATTTTAATTGTGACATTGAGCTCATTTATTATTGATGAAGATTCATGTCTTTCCAATCTTCCATGGTTTGCATTGATGTGGGTATGCTAAACATATCCGTGTTGCTTTGTATGATTTTGGCCATGGTTTTGTATGCAAATTATGTACTAATCACCACTTTCACTTTCTTTTTCATGTGATGTTGATGATTGTTGGTTGGCATGGAAATGAGCTTTGATGACGCAAAGAAACTGGGGCCATTCATGAAGCTTGGAGGGAGGTGAATTTTCAATGGTCATGAAGTAACTTGGTTCTAACTTTTTAGGAGAAGAACAAAGGCGTGTGCTTGTGCTAATGTAAAGTTGATGGAACTTAAACCAATAGAAACTTGAGTGTTCGTGTGTATATTGATGTTGTAGTTTGAAGTTTTAGGCAAATAGAAGTTTGAATTCTCTTGTGTAGAATGGATGATGAAGCTTAGGCCTAACAACTTGAACTTGCTCTTTTAACATTGTATTGATAATGAAACTTAAGCATGAAAGTTGAATTTTTGTAATTTTTGAACTTGAGTGAGAAATGGTCTATTGACTTGTAACACCTTGTGATGACCTTGAAACTTGAATGAAGAATACATGACATGACTTGAAACTTGCAATTCTCTTTTTGAATTTAAATGTAAAGCTTTGTAATTCCTTGAATGATAAGGATGTAACATGACTTGAAATTCCACGAGTCTTTTGGATTGAACTTGGCTTCTTGTAGACTTTGAAATTGAAAACCAAATGAAATCTTAAGAACTTGAATTTTGGCTCCTTCTTTTTAGTACTTTTGATTGAATAAAAGAACTACAAATTCAAAACTTCTTTTCTTCTTTTTAAATGTCCATCTTGAATTTTCAAGTAACTTTACCAAAATGTAATTTTGCACCCATGGTGCGAAACAAGATGTAAATCCATAAAATTTTGGTATAACTTTGGTCAAAAAAAGTCAACTTCACAAGTTCTTATCCATGTGCCTATAACTCGAATGATGATCCCTTATGCCATGCTTACATCAAGTCTTTACATGAAGGCCTACAAGATAGTTTGTAGCTCAAACAAAGAATTATGAACCAAAAGTTGGTATACTTCAATAAAGAACCAAACAAATAGTGAAGCAAAACCAAGTGAAACCCTAGTGATGATAATGGATGATAGTCAAGGCAAAACTCTGAGATCCTCCTAACAATACCATCAAAGGTCAACTCTACTCCATGATCCATGGGAAAAAACCCTAATAGACCCAACCTTCATATGCAAAGAAAAACCCTTAAAGTTAAAGAAGACTTAACTTATATGAAGTCTTTAGACATCACCATAACCAATATTTATCACCAAGATTAAATCCATAATGCAGAAAGGTATGGTATGCTGATGAATTCATGGTGAATTAACGCATATGAGATAAAATAAAAGTTGAAGAAAAGTATAATTAGGAGGGAAAATTTTGGGGGATGACAGGTAGCACATAACGAATCAAAGATAGTCTTTACAGTCAATTTACCTATGTTTTTTATATACTCAGAGTGAGGTAAAACATCAACAATAATACCTCTTACTCTGGTGTTTTCTGTTTACTTTCTTTTGATCTAGTGTGAGAATTTTTCTATCAGTAACCAATCCCACACCATTCACTTTGATTTCAATGCCATCCTCAAGGATGTCTCATAACTCATCATCAATGCCATTGATGTATGTGCATATTTTTCTCTTCTACCATTCAAAGTGAGTAGAATCACCATTGAATGCAAGTGGTTTAGCAGAATAATGACTCTTCTCATGGGCATTATAATCTTGTGGTATACTAGTGCAAGTAACATTATTATCCCCAATATCACTCATCTAAGTATATTTTTCTCTTCAGGATCTTTTTATGTACCACTGTTAAGTGTTAAGCACAAACAATGCTCTGATGATAATTGAAGGTGAGAAAATACAAGAGAATGAGGATTGAATTGTATATTTGATAACTTATGTTTTTTCAAAATAGAAGCTTCTGAATCTGACCAAGTTCAGATTCTAAGCATGAGAATGCAGTAGCGGAATATTTAAATTGCATAAGAAATAAGTAAATCACACAGAAAGATTATAATGATTCCTCTTTAATGAGAGTAGTCCAGTCCTATTGCCACACAAGAGATTTTCACTATAATCAGAATCTGATTACAACTTGCTTAGACATACCAGTCCAAGACTTCCTGCTCAATCTCACTAGAAAGAGACTTCTTGCCTAAACAAACTATTCATGACTTTCTTACTCAATCAAACTAGAAAGAGACTTCCTACCTAAACTAACTATTTAGGACTTCGTTGCTCAATTAAATTAGAAAGAGACTTTCTTGCCTAAACCATCTGTTCAGGACTTCCTTGCTCAATAAAACTAGAAATAGACTCCCTTGCTCAAAAACTCATCCTGAGACTTCTTTGCTCAAATACCCAGTTTGAAACTTTTACAAATTTTAAACAAAATCTTTAAGATTACAACAAAATGTACTTGATATTCAATCAGAGGTACAAATAGTATAACACAAGCAAAGACCTTAATACTTGAGATTTCTAAGATATACAAGTGTAAGAATCTCTCAAGTCTTTGTGCAATACAACAACTATAAACTGTAACTTGGAGTATGAGATAGTTCTTGGAATATTCTGATTTTCGTTGTTGTTCTTGTTGTATTATTTCTTGTTACTTATTTTGAATCTTTATCTCCTTATATAGAGGGAACAAAAGAGATGTTGGAATCTTGCACGCATAAGTTTCTTTATTGAAGAAGCAGTTTCCAAGAGAGAGACGTTGGAGTTGGTACGATGAGAATCTTCATCTTCTGATAATTGCTTTATCCATTGTATTTTTCTCAAGTAAGGTATTCATAGGCATGGAGTAGTCGATTGAATAAATCATATCATTTAGCCTTGAGCCTTGTACTAAAACCTCTAGTTGACTTGCTCCATAATTTTATTCGTTGACAAGATGGAATTACTTTTGCACAAAGTACAGATATAAGAGCTTTGTACCGTGTTTCCAACAGAGCACTTGAAGTTCTGTTTGAGTCATTAGAGACAAAGTCAATGTAGCAACTGGGGTTCTATTTGAACATCAGAAGCTGAAATCATATGGCGTTGAGGTCTTATTTGAAATTCGGATTTTGGTCCATTAGAATCTGGATTTACTTTCTTCTTCTTTACAAGCTATTTAACTGGTTTAGAACCTAATTAATTATAAGCTTAATGATCATACACACTTAACCAAACATTAGTGTACTCTATTGTTCTTTAAGTACTTTTGTTATCATCAAAATCAAAGGAGTATGAACTCAAAGAGTATGAACACATTTTGTTCAAACATGGTAACCTTCTGGGAAGTTTCCTAGAAATCGTGTGAGTGAGAACAAAGTGTGTTAAAAAGATTTATGTTATTTTGTGGGGTCTATTGGTAATACTGAAAGCAACCTGGGTCGTTAAAAATGGTATTAGAGCCATATATCTCCTAGTAAGATATGGTTCGGGGACGGACCAACTGGAAGCTGGTAGGAATCTAACACCCGAGGGCAACGAGGGAGTGAAGTGATTTTCGATGCACGAGGCATGACAATGAGACACTCTTGAGGCTAGAGAAGGCAAAGAGTGATCATAGAATTCACATCGGAATGAGATGGATCCTAAGGTTGTACAGGTATAGGACTGCATGATTAAATAGAGGCTTATAAGGATTTATTAGTACTAATTATATCATCAATATGTATCTTCTTTTTGATAGCCTAACAAATAAGAACTTCACAGTTAAGTGTGTTTGGTTTGGAGTAGTATTTGGATGTATGACCTTCTGGGAAGTTTCCCAAAAAACGTGTGAGTGAGGACAAAGCATGCTGAAAAGATCTGTCTTGGTTTGTGAGGTTAGTCGGTAATCCTGAAAGCAATCTGGGGTATTACATAGTGTATGTCAATGATGCATATAGGGTTAGTTGAATCCTTTTATGCATGTATGTATATGATTTGTTGATTATAGGTTCAAATGAAACAGAAATAAGAAGAGTCAAGTCAAAGTTGATGCATGAAATTGAAATGTATGACCTGGGGAACTTGTCATATTTCTTAGGGATGGAGTTTAAAGACACGGGAGAGGGAGTGTTCTTGCACCAAAAAAAGTATGCACAAGATATATTGATGAGGTTTAAGATGAGCAACTACAATGTAGTTGCCACGTCATTAGAAACTGGAGCAAAGTTGAAGAAGGAGACATATGATGAGTTTATAAGTGCAACATTGTACACATAAATCATTTGAACCTTGAGGTATCTTTGTAACACAAGGCCAAACATTTGTCAAAGTGTCAGATTGTTAAGCAAGTTCATGGAGAAACGCTAAGAATGTCATCTCATTGCAGTGAGAAGGATGTTGAGATACATAAAGGGCACAATTGATCATGATGTGCTGATGCCGAGACAAAAGAAGGTCGACACACATGTAGAGGTATATGGCTACTGTGATTCATATTTTAGAGGAGATCAAGACGAGAAGAAGAGTACTGCAAGCTACATATTAATAATCGAAGGTGCTACAATCAATTGGAGCTCCAGAAAGCAAAGCATTGTGACTTTTTCATCATGTCAAGCTGAATATGTGACTGCATTGTATGCAGTATGTCAAACATTATGGATAGAGATGTTGCTAGAAGACCTCAAGATCATGTTAACTAAGAAAATAAAGTTATTTGTAGATAACAAATCATCCAGTAACCTAGCCAATCATCCTATGTCTCATGGTCGAAGTAAACACATAGATAAAATGTGTCATTTTCTTAGGGATTAAGTAAATAAAGGGAAGATTGAACTTGAGCATTGCAAGACATAATGAAAACTAGCTCATGTACTAACCAAACCCATGAAGAAATTCAGTTTCTATGAGTTGAAGAAAGGTATTGGGATGAGAAGTCTCGAAAACATGAATTATATGGTGCGTTAGAAGTTGTAATTCACTGTTTTATAGAAAGTATGTAATCAACATAGGTGTGTTCGACCTAGTCAAAGTAATAGAGGTCAGTTATATTTGACAGAGTTGAATACACCATATAGTTGTTATGTCAAAGCTAAAATATAACTTTGTATGTTTTGGGTTTGGATTGTATATTTTGAGCTTAGGCCTTGATCGCCTATAAATAGGCATAACTTTGTATAGTTTCATACACTTAACAGTTTTAGTAATAATAGCTTCACAAATTCATATTACAGTTTTCTCTCATTTTTCTCTTCTTCTTATTCTTCTCTCATATTTCTTGAAAATCCTAATTCACTACTACAAAAAGTACCTTTTGTAACGCTGTTTCACCATGGCCAAAGGATCCTCTCTGATAAAATCTATTCAATTAAGTGCTTTCTTTTTTATTTCTAATTTTAAGTCACTTTTCACCATCGACCATGGTGAAAAGTGGTGCTTGGTCATGAGTTTGAGTCTAGCACCTACAATTTTATTTTTTTATTTATTTTAAGACACTTTTTACCACGGCTAAAACTTCCAACTGTGGTGAAAAGTGGCGCATGGTCACGAGTTCGAATCTTGTTGTTGTTTTACTGCTGCATTTTTTTAAATTTTATTAAAAGACATACAACAAAGCTTGTTTAATACAATTGTTGTTGTATGTAGCGCCCTATTCACAATTTTGTTTTTCCAACACACACACAAAAACACACACACACACACACAGTTGAATGAGACAAAGAAAACATGGATTGAAGTTAGCAATGTTAGTTGTTGTTGTTGTGTCGGGTAAAATATTTAATGTTGTTGTTGAGATTTAATGTTTAAGGACTTTATTGATTTTGTTTTTGTTGTTGTTGTTGTCGTTCTTGTTACTGTTGTTGTCGTCGTTATTGTTCTTGTTGTTGTTGTTATTATTATTGTTATGGTCATTATTGTTGTTGTTCTTGTTGTTCATGTTGTTGTTCTTGTTGTTGTTATTCTTGTTGTTGTTGTCGTTGTTGTTCTACCACTATATTTATTTGTTTATTTTATTAGATCTTTCACAACCGTTGTTATATGTGTTTTTTCAACTGTGATTATAGGTCTTTCACAATTGTTGTTATATGTATTTTTTCGTAGTAGTGATTGTTCCAACAATAACAACGGTGCTCCAACGAATATAATCCTTAGAATTAAGGAGTGTCATCAAATTGATGGTCCACTCTATGATCTTCGTAAGATGTTCACTAGTTATCGTCAGCAATCGGTGCATCAATCTTTCACCGTTAATTGGTAATGCCCCAACCACAATATGTTTATAGTTGTCCATCTACTCGCTCTGGGAGTACCCTCATTATGAGATCCATTAATCTTCTTATCATATAAGCTCTTTAAGTGATCATAAATCTAACATGACATTGAAAAATATAACTTAGTTTAACAAAAAACAACATGAACTACTGCTATACAACTTTAAGTTGCATAAGTAATGATAAATAACGATAAAATGTAATAACTTTAAAAGGATCATATATTTTCTAACAGACGTTGTCTCATGCTGACAAATCTCTTCCAAGTAGTAGTACAACACAGTCAAAGCGACATCACCCCATGCCCATATGTGATATCTCAAATTAGTGAACAATGCAATATACTTCAAGTCTATCAAATGGTGTAACTTGTCTGCAAGAATGACACGCCCAATTAAATATAGCATGAATTTCATATTCGTAAATTCAAACCTCTCATCCATGACTACTTGCTTGAAGATATTTTGCAGGCAAAATATTCATGTATAGTTAGTTACACCCAATTAATCATAGGTTGCTAAGATAGCAAGTTCGGGACTCATTATAGGAGAACTATAAAAATCCCCATAAAACGTACGATTTTACAAGTCTAAATGTAAAAGTATGGTTGATAGAATCGCGAGTTAACTCATAAAAACTTACGATTTTACAATCCTAGATAGAAATTTTGTGGCAACTCATTAGTAAACTCAAAATTGGATGAAATCAAAAGTATAAGCGAGTTTGCACATCTAAAATTGTGAATTGACTAACCAAAATCAGTTAAACTCACTCTACTTGCTTAAACTCGCTATGACATTTTAGTATAGTGATTTGATATATTTTTATTTTATAATTGAGTTAAAAATTTTAAATTATTGATACACATGGTGGGTGTCCAAAGATCCTTTTGAAAAGCTACATATCTCATATTCATTGTTCTGAGCTGGTCATGCAGACCAATAAGACCGATCCATTTGAAGAGGGTTAATTCAGAGTTCGCCCACTCATACGGACGAACACGTTGACTCTCACCATAGAGTCAATCTGATGGTCTCCCACATCTAATGTCATATTCACCAGTGGGAGTAGTTTTAACTGTCGTCCATTTAAAAGTGCAGGTTTTATGTAACTCTAAGGTATGATTCATTCTATTCATGTAAGTTACACCTTTTTGATTTTATGGACTTGGGTCTACTCTCGTCCCCTCAAGAAAGCCACAAAGATGTTGGGTCATGAGGGGGTAGGAGTATTATTATATTGGAATTTAAACAATCGGTTTACATGAGTTAGCCACCATATATTAATCAAAATACTGAGACATTGTATACATTGGTCTTCTCACTTATAAAATATTCTACACCACTTTTCTATCTAATATGAGACTCATACCCATACTTGATATACCAATAAAGAGACATCCTGTAGGATCGAAAACAATAAGCGAAGAAGGAAAATCGAAAGAGACCCATCTTGGAGTTCAGAAACAACCTTTTCGTGTTTGAAAGCACATTTTCTAAATCATGTATAGTCTTTAAGAAACAGGGCAACATTTTCTTTTACAGATTTGTATTTATAGGTTTATTGAAACATGATTCACTTCAGGTATAGCAATTGTGCTATTTATATATGTGTGTATATATATAATGGAGAATTCTATAATAACATTCATGGAACTTTAGGACAAAAATCAAATGCTAATAAAAAAATGTCATATATGTATTGGCGTATTACATGTACAAGATGTCTTGTTTTCTCTGCTTCTCTATCTAATGCATCACCTTGGCCTAACAACAACATGCTGTCCAAATAAAAATATTAAATAAAAAAGTTAGACAAATCAATTATCAAAAAATGAAAGTGCAATACATAACATGCTTACCTTTATTTGTGTCCTATTATATGTATATGTGACATGAACTCTCCCATCACTAGCTTGAATAACAGCAGGATATGAAAATTCCATTCCTATAGTATCCTCCAATGTAAGTCCCTCATGCCATGAATCACCATCATCTTCAGAGAGAGCAAGTTTAAGTACTCCCCTTGAAATTGTATTATATGCAATCAATAAACGACCATCTTTTAGCTTAATCCCATCAATACCTATAATACAACAAAAGGAAACTTGTGTCGTAAGCTATTAATGCATATCGGCCCAATATAAGGTGAGGCCTAAAGCTACGTGGCGAGACTAACTCTCGTATATATCAGGACTAGTCATCCTTCTTATATATATTTCATCTACGCCATATTTAGTTAATGTGAGATTAACTATGTCATCTGACGTCAGAATCAGATAAATTTTAAGACATCAGGTATATGAATCGCTATCAGTATATAATACAGGGTAACATAAATATATTGAGAAAAACTTAACCTGAGTTTGGGTTAGGGAGCTGTGTAGGTTCTGCATATTCCCAAGTTTTGCCTCCATCGAAAGACTCCGACATATAAACTCTACCAAGACCGGTAAAGGATCGAAGCAAAACTCGCAGTGTCCCATTTGCAGTCTGGTATGGTACAGGTTGAATCACACTTAGAGACTTATTCTTAATGTAAATTGGACCATACTTTCTCCATGTTTTTCCATAATCTCTTGTAACCTCTGCCCATGATCCCCAAGAGTTCCAGCTTTCAACAGAAGATCCACAAAATAAGTCACCATTTTCCAACAAGAGAGGCTGAACAAAAAAACAAAATGAATTGTCGTACTAATTAATACGACCTCCGGTCTTATTTATAAGAAAAAGTTCATTTTTTAGATACATTGAATACTGTTCAGATACATTATTTATTCAATGTACCTAACAGAGAGAGTATCTCAAATTTGAGTACGGTTTATTGTCTCACCTTATTCTTGATAGGTCCTAATATACCAGGTGGAAGTTGTTCTCTTTCTGTCCATGTAATACCTTTATCAAATGACCGTTTCATGAATCCACTCCATCTAAAGCAAAATAAATCAAAAGATTCATCAAGAATCCGCAATTGCTTAAATTAAAAAGAAACTTATAAACACATGCATATATGTATGAAGAATGTAAGAATTGAGAGTTTACTTTTGAACATCTACGCCTATTCTGTAGAAAAGCAGTAAGACATTTGATGGAAGTTTGAAGAGTACAGGATTCCACATAGGAACATTTGGCTCTTCATCAGCAACTATAGGTGGTTTCCATAATCCATTCTGCCAATCAAATTTTCATTTACAATATTAAAACAACAGGCAAATACATATCAACCACCAACGCTTCTGAAAAAAGTGTCTGATACTGACACGACCATTGTAATTACTTTTAATTTATTTATTTTTTTAAACTTATTATTGCTGTTGACGTGTCAATGTGAGGGTCGTGTCTGGTGTTCGTGTCTGTGTTCGTGTTTCATATTAAAAAACTTAAGAAGAATGAACTAACAAGTAACAACCTCTCTCCCAAGAATCTCAAACTCTCCACTACATATATAGATAGACATACCTTGTAAGTCTGCAACCATATTTTGACATCAGGTGCACCCTCTGATGTGCCCCCAAAATATGCAACCAAAAAATGACCCTTCCCAACCTGCAGGTGAAATCAAATATAAACTCGTTACCTTAAAAAAGAAGGAACATGAAAAAACTAGTTTGTAATTGATGACCTCAACAATGGTAGAAGCATGACAACTATTGAAGGGAACTGAATTTGCAGGAAAAGTGAACTCTTGTACAAAAGGTCCTTCAATTGTTGTGGAATTCAACCTGCAGAGAGCAGAAAACAGAAAGAAGAAGAAAAGTTTGATATATAATTAATATATTGTAACAATGGATTAGCAATATATACCTAGAAAATGAGTTAACAGTATGAATGATGAAGAAGGCAAAATGGAGAAAGGAAAGAAACAAAGACATGGTTGATGATCGGTTTGGTTCCACTTTGCAGCCCGTGACACAAACGTTGGAGTGAAAATAAAGTCAAATAATTAACCCATTTCTTCCTTTGGTATGCACATAAAGACGCATTGCTAAAAAAATGTAATATCTTTATAACTAAATGCCTTTTGTTTCTTGTATTTAGCATGGGTTTACGTTTTTAAAATGATATTTCTTGATGGCGTGGAAGAGATGTGTGATATGAAAATAGTTTTGTTGACATAATAAGAGCATTAATGTCAATCAAGTTATTTTAAGGATTATTAACAAGCTTTTTTATTTTGAATCACGGCAATGGATTTTACTTTTTATTTTTATTTTAATAAAAAAACTGATATTCATGAGTTTTAGTTGAGTACTCAAACTTTTATTAAAAAATTATTTTAAATTATAAATTTAAAATTTTACTCTATAATAATGATATATATGATTTTTGCTTTTCTTCTCCAATATGTTTAATAATAAATAGCACTACTAAAAAAAATTAACTATGTACTTTTGCAATTTCACATAGATCCATAGAGACACTCTATATTTCCATAACAAAACATTATGCATTGTTGATTGTGGTTTAGTTGAAGACGTTGTTCCGCCATCCACCACTTCCATCTGGCATCTCACCTATTTTTATAATAATAAAAATATTTTTGTCAAATTTAATTAAAAAAGAGCAAACAAAATATTCAGTAGTTCAATTGAAAAATCTCTTAGGATGATAAAAAAATTCAGTATGAATAAAAAAAATCAATAGCGTATTTTAAAAGTTTGATATCGCTTTTTATTAGTTTTTTGTAAAGAGGTTTAACTTTAAAGAAGGAAACATGTAGACTTCTATAATGATTAGGTTATTGCACTAAAGTTGAGCATGAGATATTGTAAAATTTTCATGGTGAAATATTCATGGCTAAAGGGGTAAAAATGTGAGTTATATATTTTAGATGGTTTTAATGTTATTGGTCATTTATCGTTAGCTACCAAAGACTTTCATTACAAGACCAAACTATAAGATTTAAGGTCAAGATATGATAAATGTATGGAAGTTGTTTTAGAACACTTTTATGAATTTGCAGAAGAGAAGGGATAAAAATGCATCTGATCGCTTTTGTCATAATGTTAGGAACTTAGTTTCCAGAGAGTTTCTAAGGCAAGCATGGTGGAAAAGCAACTTACTTGATCGATATATATTCATTCACGGGAATAGATTTATAGACGCCTAAGGAGCTTTGAAGTAGGAAACATCTAGACTACTATAATTAGAAGATCTTCTAAGCTTTTTCATTTATGCAAATCAAGCTAGTTTAACTTGATGATAAAGTTGTATAAGGTGTCTTAAATGGTTATTCAAAAGTTCGGAAGAATTATAAGTTATGGTAAGTGGAACCTAAAGAATCAAAGTTCGTCATATATAGGTATATTACTTCCAATGATACTTGAAAGTTGTGCCGCAAAAAATATACAGAATCGCCACCGAACTTTATTTATTCTAAAGGAAAGAGAAAATATTAATAAAACCTCAAGAGTGAAAGAAAATGGTTGTCGCAACCAAATTCAGGTTCAGAAGTCGATTATGTAAGAGAAATGTATTAGCACCCTCACATTCGTTGTACTCAATAGGAACCAATTTAATTGTTTTGCGTGTAAGGGTGTTGTTTAAAGGTTACTTGCGATTATTGATTTATTAATGGATTTAATTATGGAAAAAATAAATTTTTAATTAGTGTGCTTGCCAAGATTTCGAAATCCCGTGCCTACGTATTTGTTAGTGCGTGATGCACTTTTAGTGAGAGGAGAAAGAAAGTGAATAAGAAAATAAGGATTGTATTATTGAATTGAATTGTTACAAATAATGATACGAACTATGACTATTTAAGTACACTTAACTTATATACTAAGTAGGCTAACAAACCATAATTGGGCTTGGACTTAGGTTACACGACTTGGATTAGGTCTAATATCTCAACATACCCCCCATAATTCAAGTTGTCGAACATACTTTAAAAATAGTCAATCTGAACTATTCCTAATTTCTTTCTCAAATTTAGGATTTTTTCAATCTTCAATCTTTAGGGTGCTAATATCTTCCCTTTGTATAACCAACCCCCATACCTAGATTCCCTCCCTCTTACTCTTGGTTTTATTCGCTCTTTTTCCATTTCCTTTGGAAACAATAAAGTGATGTGGCGATTTTTATTTGATTTGTACGAGTTAAGTCAATCCAATGACTTAGTCTCAACATTTCTACTGCTACAGGAGCATGTGGAAGCCACATCGGAGGAAGATCCATGCCTGGGAAGACACTCTGAGCTGGATATTATTGGCCCCGAATGTTACAGGAGTGCGTTGAATTCGTAAGAAAATATGACAAGTGTCAAGTATACTCACCACTCATACACTCCCCAGTAGAATTACTACACTCCATATTCTCTCCATGGCCGTTTTATAAATGGGGAACAAACATACTGGGATCATTTCCTGTAGAATCAGGGCAATTAAAATTTCTCATTGTAGCTGTCGACTACTGTGGAAGCCGAGGTCGTAGCTCACATCATCGTTGGAAGAGTGCATCACTTCTATTGGAAAAACATTATTTGCAGGTTCAGATTTCCCTGAATCATAGTATCTAAAAATGGAACATAGTTTGCAAGCTCAACGATGGTAGAATTCTGCAGCGACTTGGGGATCTAAAACAGGTTCACATCAGTGAAACATCTTCAAGCCAACGGTCAAGTTAAAGCGGAAAAAAAATCATCCTGACATGAATGAAAAAGAAGTTGGACAATGCAAATAGACTATGGGCTGAATACTTGTCGGAGATCCTTTGGTCATACCATACAACCCCCACTCTACTACTCCAGAAACTCCTTTTCAAATGGTGTACGGGGAAGACGCCATGATATCGACTAAGATAAACACCCCTACATGGAGGCGAAAACACTTTGACGAAGAAAACAACAAGGACAACTTGAATAGTTCGACCGACATGGTAGAGGAAATCCGAGAAATGGCACGAGTCAGAGAGTTCGCAGTAAAGAGCATATTAGCTAAGAAGCTCAACTTAAAGGTCGGCAGAGAGATTTTCAAACAGGGACCTGGTCCTCAAAAAGATCACCGATCTTAAAAACAAGGGAAAGTTATCTCCGAAATGGGAAGGCCCCTACCAGGTACTTCACAAGCTGAATAATGGGGCTTACAAATTGCAAACTCTGGACGGGGTAGAGATTCCCAGGATATTGAATGCAGTCAATCTCGGGCTTTATTTTAGCTAAAAACTATGTAATGAGACCGCTAAATAAATGTACGATATGCACTCTTTTCCCTTGCAAGGGTAAGGGTTTTTAACGAGGCACCCAAAAATAAAAACAAATGTATGTAAATACTTGTCTTATAAACTCGGCTTCAACCTCACTAAGGCTCTGGTCCTACTCGGCCAACCCTTACAATGAGGCTCTATTCTGGAAAAAAGTAGAAGCACACTTTAAGCCTCTCTCAACCCAGCTTCAACCTCGCTAAGGCTCTGGTCCTACTCAGCCAATCCTTACAACGGGGCTATGTTCTAGCAAAAAGTCGAAGCACACTTTAAGCCTCTCCCAACTCAGATTCAACCTCGCTAAGTCTCTGGTCCTACTCGACTAACCCTTACAATGAGGCTCTTCTCTGGACAAAGTCGAAGCATACTTTAAGCCTCTCACAACTCTGCTTCAACCTTGCCAAGGCTCTGGTCCTACTCGGCCAATCCTTACAATGGGGCTTTGTTCTGGCAAAAAGTCGAGGCATACTTCACACCTCTCACAAAACTCCTTTCAATATTCCCCTCATCTGGGTCGAGTTCATAAACATACTCCCCTCATCTGGGTCGAGTTCATTAACATACTCCCCTCACCAGGTTCGAGTTCATAAACCTACTCCCCTCATCTGGGTCGAGTTCATTAATATACTCCTCTCACCAAGGTCGAGTTTGTAAATATACTCCCCTTATCTGGGTCGAGTTCTTAATCACACTCCCTTCACCAGGGTCAAAGTTCTATGACCAACTCTACCCTCTAGGTTGAGTTCATTAAAAAGTTAAATATGTCAAACCGAGTATGGTCATGGTACCCATTAAAAGACATACCAAAGTTACTAAAAAACACTCGTAGAGATGGTACCTGACAATACATGATCGTACATGATCAACCATATGGACTTTGTATCCGAAGGGCTTATACATAATATCAGGTTATCTTCAAAAACAAACGCATACAATACATAAAGATAAAAGCACAGATAAATGAAAAATGAAAAGCAACGGTTACATAAAAGGCCATGAATAGCCATCAAAAGTACAAATCCCGGAGGCGATAAAGCCCGGAGGCAATAGTTCAAGAGAAGCAAAAAGGATGGCAAAACCACTCCTTACAAAAATAATTACATAAGTGCATCCTTATCGGATGACTAACAGAACCGACAAAACAACATCAAAATATCATACACTAAGGGTCTTCCTTCTCGGTATCATTATGGACATTTTCCTCGACAGAGGGATCCTCGGGATTTGGCTGAGGAGAAGGAGTCTTCTCCACTTCTTCAAGATCAACTAGGCGGCCATCCTACACCACCTTGAAGAAATCCATCTTCGATATAGCCAAGCCGAGATGAAGACATAACACCTGATTTTTTGCTTGCTTAAAGGCCTCATCACCAGCAGAAAGAATGTCCACCTAGGACTTCTTCAGAGCTTCCTTCAACTCAGCATTAGTCGTGTTCGACTCGTCATTAGTGGCCTTCTCTGCCTTCAACCGCTTTTCAAGCTGGGTAAGAGTGGCTTTATTATTAGACTCCAGAGTCTCTCAGTGTTCTTTGTCCTTCGCCAAAGCCTTCTCCATGGTGGACAGCTTCTCGGAATAAGCCTTATGGGTTTCCCTCAAGCGAGTTATCTCCTCTTTCAGCTTCGCCTTCGTCTCCTCATGATCATCTGCAGACACAAAGAGACCATGGGTCAA